TATAGCACACTTATTATAGCGAACTTCTAATAACACTCTCTTTGGCGCGACGCGTTGATTGTATTTATAGGCATGGGAAGGTTTTGTAAAAAATTCAGATTGCATAACAATACTGAGCTATATTTAAACGTTTATATACATGTATATAGATATATTGTTGATTCTTACTCTCGAGAATCTTCTATAACTTTGGAGAATAGGCGGGGGTTTCGCAATAAATGCCTAACACTATAAGTTACGCATATTTTTAAACATAAACTTAATCCAAACAAACGTTAATATTAAAATAAATACATAATAACAAATTCGTTAGAGTGCCAAATACTCTCTAACACCCGAACATGCTGCTCAGCTTTAAAGGTAAAGTGTGTGTGATATTCTTAGCCTGTAAATTCGTCAAAATTAACTGTTAAACTTTCACTTATGTAAGCATTTAATTCTTAATAACCTCGGCCACTTAATTCTAATTATGTAGAGGGGTGAAGAAAAACAGAAGTTTCTGACCGCCCCTGGTTATATTTCATTACCACAAGGGGAATGAAATAGACTTTTAATCTAAATTTCTACCATGCTAGATTGGATTGGATTATTTTTAGGAAAAGTTTGTACAAAGTGTTGCTCGTGACAACGTCTATATGAAGTTACACTGAACAACATAAATCTTTACATATCAATATTAAACAATTATTTATATAATAGCGCTACCTATTAGAAAAAACTTTCTAATTATCCAAGTTTAGGCGTAAGCGTTTCTGTCCTTATATTATATTAGTTGCCATTAGAAACCGAAATACGATTAGATGTATCAAGAATAGAATAAGCTTTGTAATATTATTGTTACGACAGCGGAAGTCTCGCGACGCTGGGAGCATGCGCGATGTAGTTTCTAGAAGGATCGTGACTTAGCGGGCAACTTCATGAATGTCCCAGCGTTTGCTAGACGCCTTATTTTTCTAGTATATAAGCCGGAGATAGATATAGAGATAAATAATCGAATCAAGCGAGCAGTAGGTA